GGAGATCTTCTTGGCGTTCGGTGGGAGGTTGGACAGACAACCTGGTGAGAGAAAAGTGTCGGATGATTTCGGACTTTAGGACACAGGAAAAAAAAAAAATGGTACAGTTATTGAAATTATTTAAAAAAAAAAAATCAATTATTGTAGAAACCAGCTGAGCTTGCTGTGTATTTGTAGTTGGATTAGACTGGATTACACAATGGCAAAAATGATCTCGTTTCTGTCAAACCTTGACAAGTGGAAATGTAGTCATTACTGGGCTATTCCTTTGATGTCTTTAGGCAAATTTGGAGCTATGAAGGTGTTTTGTATGTAATTAACAAACACGTAAATCATAAAAAAAAAAAAACCATAGCCCCATTTTCAGGATTATGAAACCTTAGGTAAACTTAGGTAAGCAGTAGGGTGAACCTTTTAAAGGAGCTGTACATCTGCGTGTTGTTGTTGTTGTTGTTTTTTCTCTCTCTCTGACACTTTGAGACACTCAGCCAGGAGGAGAACATGAGAAATCTGTTTTTAATCTTTTTTATTTATTTTCCCCCCTTTTCTTCACGTTGAAAAGTGGTTAACAAAAAGCAGCAGGCCTGGGAGTCTCCACTGAGCTGATAACAAGTGAACAGGCACACGCCTATTGTCCAGGTATTAACCAGCACACACACGCACACACACACACACACACACACACACACGTCCTATTGTCCAGCCTAAAGCCTTTAGTCACACTGCACACTTGCTGTGCCTGTGTGTGTGTGTGTGTGTGTGTGTGTGTGTGTCCCTCCATTGTGTTCATCAAGAAGACTCCAAAATAACCTTCTTTGTCTGTGCATGTGTATGGGGATGTACACAGTGGGGAGGAACTACAGCTTGGAGTTGAATACGTGTGTGTGCGTGTGTGTGTGTGTAATCACAGTGGAAGATGAGACCGCATCTCTTGCATGAAATAAAAGACTCACATTAAGGCAGTTGAAACACAGTGAATGAACAATCCTATGAAAAAAACACCCCGTTTTGATCAGTCAATCGCTCAACAAGCCTTTTTGAAGGAGTTAAAAATACTTCAATTTTAATTAATGTGATACTTTGCTTATGTTAAGTTCAATAGAAGAGCTGATTTCCACAGACTACCTGAGTCAGATTAATGAACAGAAAGCGAGCAGAGCTTTTTACTTTATGGGAGTCCCAACAACGACGTGACTTAGTGAGACGTAATCTCCTAACCCTCCATCGCGTCGTTAAAAGTGAAAAGAGACATTTTTGTCTTTGGTGCTGAGGGCTCCTAACCCTCCATCGCGTCGTTAAAAATGAAAAGAGACATTTTTGTCTTTTGTGCTGAGGCTTTGATTTTTGATTTTTTACTTAATTATCGCAACAGAACAAATCTTACAGTAAGTCTTGCTCCCGTCTTCGCCTTTGATCTTAAAATTCTAAACTGCCTACCCGCAATCTACCTACAATTACTTACACATGAGGACAATTAGACACTGAACTACAGTAGGAAACACTTTTATCAGAGTATCGGTTTTGAAGAATCTGTGCATTTGAGTATGAATAAAAATATTTAAATGAAGTCAGGAACTGAAATGTGCCACATTTAGGGTGTCCCTAAGGATGTCCTTGCGTCCGCCCTTCCATCATCTAGCGGTTATCGGCTCCATGTGTACGTTGAAATTTTGCCTCTCAAAACTCATTTTTCATTTTAGAAAGTCTCATCAAGTTAACCCCCCCACACACCTTTCTCTCTTTCAACTTTAATCAGATTTTTCACCACCTACTATTTTGATAAACAAGTTAAATTACAGAAACCTGCAGAAAGAGAGCAGATAATTCTGACACAAAAAAAAAATCAAATCTTCAGCGAAACCTGAGGATTAAATTGTTTCTTCCTCCAAAACTAAGGCTCCTTCATCTATAACTACTGAAAACACAACTCCATATCATGAAGTACAACGTCGATGGGACTGACGAGGTACCATATCATGTGTTGTCATCTAAAGTTCCGGTGATTTTTCATGAATGACATGATAAACTAAGATCAGGTTTTAGAAAAATAAAAGAAATGGGAGAAAAAGAGGAGGTTTGTTCAAGAATCATCAGGAAGTCATTAGAAATAAAAATATTTAATCACAACCCCACGGGATTCCATAGGCAGAAAATTGAAAAAAAGTGCCGCAAAGGTCCAAGTTAAAAAAAAACACAATATATTTTTTTGGTTTTTCATGTATATTCGTCGGTCCATCTTAACCTCTCCCTCCCCCCTTCCATATTTCCATACTATATCCTGCTGCTCTTTATAATGAGATTGCTAAAGGCCAGCTGTCATTTGGAAGAAGGCCCAGCGGCCAGCTCTGATAAATGGATTACTGACGGCATCCATACCTCAGGCCAGACTGGGCTAGTTGATAACAGAATTAGAGATGGACTCTGGGAGAATGACTAAAACTTAGGATATACAGAGAAGGAATGGGGACGGAAAATAGGTTCAGTGGGATTTAGAGACAGGAACTCAGACATGGTGGTGGTGTCCTCAAGTGTTGGAGGTGATGGGGGTTGATTACAGCAAAGACGTGTGTCTGTGTGTGTCTGTGTGTGTGTGTTGATGATTTGGTGTTTTCACAGCAGAGAATCAATAATCAGTGATGATGGGACGATTTTGTCACTTTGTACCCCTGCTCCTGATTGGGTCAGTGCTGTTCCTGCGCTGTGAATGGTCCTCAATTTGAAGCTTTTAAGTCAACCTGGAGCAGGCAGACTGCAGCAACTTGAGATTTGTCACAATTTACAAAAGTGCTAACATATGTACTAGCATGAGATACCATAAAAAGTGAGTACCGGTTGGAAACTTTTGTAAGCTCAAAAAAAATTTTTTTACATCTCCTGATTGATTCAAATAGACCACACAACTGGTCCCTGGATGCTTAACTTTTTCTTTTTTTTTAAACCAAATCTCAGAACTTTTGAAGTCTAATGAGTGTCCTGAACTTCGTAGCAAACCCAAAAGGAGTCATGAAGAATTGAGCTAAATTTAAAATGATGCTCAGGTCACCTGCCACACTGATGTTCCAAAAACATCATCCTTCAGATGATAAAGGACCTCTGTGAACTTTCATCAGCCGTCAGATGTGAGGTTTCTGTGGCAGGTAGCACCGCGTCCTGCGTTTGCGCGCGTGCGTGCGTGTGCGCTTGCTGCTTCTTGGCCCGTGCGGACAGGACAGATTGATTTTTGAAGCCTATTGATCTGCTTCTTTCGTGAGCGGCAGATCTATTGTAATAACATTGTATCTAAATCCTATTTGTTGGCCAACCTGCTCCCAAACATAACCCAATAAACTAAAGAGGGGGATGGAGCAGCTCATCTCTCTCTGCCCGGCGTGCGCTTGGCTAAATCTTCATAAAAACAAGAAATGGATTGAGATAAAAAGGAGTTCTGACTGAAATGACATTATCCACCGAGGAAGGAATCTATTAAAAAGGGCAGAGTGGTGTAATGCAACAACCTGTGGAGTCCTGGCTATCGCCAGGACAATCTTTAAAACAAGAGAGACAAAAACAATGTGTTTAAAGAAGAATCTTAACAGGGTCATACGGTAATAAATAAAGGGCTGTCACACCAATAAGAAAAAATCTGATCTATCTGATTAATCACAGGGCTGATTTGAACTATTGATGATATGATTAAACAAGACGAATCAACGTTCCTAAATAAGACCAAAAAAAAAGTTTTTTTAAATTATACTATTCAAAGCATGGGTCTCTTAAAATGAAAAATGTCACTCAAAATCTACCTTCATATGGTTTCATCTTAGCAGTGGCTTTTAGAATGTATCATCAATTTCTTTAATTTCTTTCTTTTTTCAAGTCATCGTTTTCAACAATTTGACTATTGCGTCAGTCAGGTTGTTAGTCTCTGATTTACCGATTGTCCTGATCTCAGCAAGCCCGGTCTGACTGAGACAGACATCTGACCTCCACAAACAGTTGAGAATGAGTTGAGAATGTAATTCAAAACTCAAGTTTAAACAACTTAGGTGTTCACTTATCGAAGCTACAAAAGGTACGAAAATCGTTGTGATTTTGTCTGCAACAGTCGAAATGTCTTTTAACATTCTGCGCCTTGATTGTGTTGGCTCTGAACTTCATTCAGCTTGTGTCTCACCACTGCTGTCTAAGAACATATACAGTAATACCTCGAGATACGAGCGTCCTGACGTACGAGTATTCCGAGATACGTGCAAGCCTTCGAGCAAATTTTTTGCTTCGAGATACGAGTAAAGATTTGAGAAACGCCGACGCTAGGTGGCCGAGCACTCACGTCACTCCACGACTTCCGTACGTACTGTATCTCCCGCGAGTCTACCAATCTACTGTTTGCGTTATCTACGTGATTTTCTCCCTATTTTGGTCATTATTCTTCATAATAATGATGAGTCCTAAGAACGTGAGTGGTAAGGATGGTAGAGAGAAGAAGCCTCTACTGTATCGTCTGTCTAGAAGGTAAGAACTCATAATTAAAACTACATTTTATTTTATATCACAGGAATCCTTATATACTATAATTCCTCTGTGTGTGTATGTCTTTTATGGCAATTAAAAACATGTTTTTTTTTCCATTGTTATTAGCACTAATAAGAGAGTTTTTTAGAGGGACGGAACGGATTCGTTTTTTTTTTTTATTATTTCTTATGGGAAAAAATTATTTAACATATGAGCACTTCCAGTTACAAGATCGGTCCTGGAACGGATTATGCTGGTATCTCAAGTTATTACTGCAGGTCAAAGAAACAAAATTTAAAAAATCAACTAAAGTCACCATTTCCTGCAACAGTTGTGTGTTACAAAAATATGTCTGCGAGTAAACTTAAAAAAAAACACAAAAAAAAACCCTGAGATGTGAGAGTGGATGGAGGAGTCAAAGCAGAAGGTCGGTACTTAATTATTTAGAAACTTATATTCCGTTTGTTTGACCTCCACCTACCCCCCCCCGGCCACCCCGACAAACCCGTCTCCTTTCCTAATTGCAGGTTTGTGTTTCCAGATAGCTCCCCTGTCTGTGTCTTAAGACGGTAAAATACACTTAACCTTCAGATGGACTTGGTCCGATCGGACGGGCAGTGGCCGTTTTCTGGACTCGAATCTTTTTTCTCTATCAATCTAATTGGGTTTCTCAATTATTCCCCCCTCCTAGATTTTCTGTCTCTTGACATTCGCTGTAAGGACAGCGTTCACTCTCCTTCTCCATCTCTTTCTTTATTTATC